ATGGAGGAGGTGGACAGGGGCGCTGGGCCGGTCATGGCGCACATGGACGGCGGCGCTAGGCCGGCCATGGCGGAGGCGGACGGCGGCGACGTGGCCATGGCTGAGCCATGCGGCGGCGATCCATAATCCCCGCGGCGGCGCGGCTGGCTAGGCAGATACATGAGTTCGATGTGGGCACAGCGGGTTATTGTGTGACGAATTTACCCTTGGAAAAAACAACCGGTCCCACTAAAATATTGTAATAGTCCCACCGCTACATATAATTTGCCGTAATTTTAGTTTTGTAACTCCTCATAACTCCTATTTTCTCACCGTCAGATCAGGGTGGATAGACGGCTCGTAAAATCGCCAATCACCGTAACAGTTGTATTCTATATATAGGCAGTATTTAGTGTTGGCATTCTCGTATAAGGCACGACAACACTAGATACTTTATCTATGGCGTACATATAAATCCTACGCCAGCAATATCTTCCAACTGATCAGCACACTTAGGCCCACATAATGGTGGTTTGACAAAATATCCACGTCAGCACTACCCATATAAATCTGGCATACCAATTATACTTATGCCAGCACTATCTAAAAAAGTTAGTGTTGGCGTTGGTTGAAAATGGCGTGCCATCAACGAAAGTTGTGGCTATCCACTTTTCCACTAGTTAAGTGAACTTGTATTGCGTGTGTGTGTGGCTTTTGAGCCGCCGCTGTGGGCTGTATTCAGATTTTATGTCTTCGTGAACCTTGGGTGTTTCTTTTAACCACTAAAGGCTTCAGTCATCTAAAGTTGGGCAATCACCTCCTTCCTAGAAATAAAAAGATAGAGTAAACACAAATGTTTAACAAGTGATAACTCATCTATTATCAAATGCAGAAGCTAGTGGTGAGCTAATAGGAGTAAAGGTTTGTCGTGATGCACCAGCTATTACAAATCTGTTATTTGCTGATGATTCACTGATTTTAATGAAGGCCAATGTAACTAATGTTGTCTGCTTAAAGTCTATCCTGGATGTATTGTGAAGCATCTGGCCAGCAAGTTAGTGTTGAGAAATCGAGCATATTCTTTAATTAGTCCAAGCACAAAAGTGAACATGAAGGCTGAAGTTTGTTCCTCTCTAAATATAATGACAGAAGCGTTAAATGATAAGTACTTGGGACTTCCTGCTACGCTCTGTTTAGACAAGTTTGATAGTTTCCATTATTTGATCGATCGCCTGATTCAGAGGCTAATGGGGTGGAAAGAAAAATGCCTGTCGTCAGGTGGTAAAGAAGTGCTACTAAAGTCTGTTGCACAAGTCATACCAACTTATGCGATGTCGGTCTTTAAAATTCCTAAAGAAAATTGCAAAGGAATCACTGATGCGATGTCAAGTTTTTGATGGGGTGATGATGTTTCGCAGAAAAAGATGCACTGGTTCCCGTGGTGGAAAATGTGCATACCTAAGAACAGAGGGGGCATGGGATTTAGAGATATCCATTGCTTTAATCTAGCATTGTTGGCTAAGCAAGCATGGGGCTTGATTGATGATCCTAAGTCGCTATGCGCTATTATCCTTGGAGCAAAGTACTTCCCTGATGGAGATTTGTTCAAGGCTACTTTGAAGAAAAAAGCTTCATACACCTGGCAAAGCATAATTGCAGGAGTGGAAACCTTGAAGAGAGGTTACATATGGAGAATAGGTGATGGATCCAAAGTGAATATTTGGGATGATCCGTGGATACCCCAATCACCGTCTAGAAAAATTTTGACAGTTCGTGGAAGTAATATTATCTCGAGAGTGAGTGATCTTATTGATCCTTCCACGGGGGATTGGGACGAGCAGCTGGTACAGCAGACCTTGTGGCCTCTAGATGCCTGCAGGATCTTGTCTATCCCACTCCCGCTACATGAGATGGAAGACTTTGTGGCATGGAATCTGTCAAGAAACGGAATTTTTTCCGTAAGGTCGGGCTATTGCGCTGAGTGGGAGTTCCAATATGGGCAGAAAATCCAGCCAAGTAGGACGTCATCTACCCCTAAAAATAACTAGGAATCACTATGGAATCTACAATGCCCAGCAAAAATCAAGATATTTATTTGGAGAGCATTGCAAAGCGCAATCCCATGTCGCGCCATACTCGCAGCAAAACATATGAAGGTTAAAACAGGTTGCCCAGCTTGCAACAGAGGACCTGAGAGTATTATGCAGCTACTCTTCCAATGCAAGAAAGCTGTCGAAGTTTGGCAATTGTTGAGATTACATGACATTATCAAAAAAGCTTGTTGTGTGAGTAGGTTTGATGAAGTCGTGATTGAGCATATTTTGTGCCTTCGGGACTCGGACATCCATGTACTTGGGCTGCCTAATCCGGGGGAGACAATAGCAACTAGTGCCTGGTATTTGTGGTTCGAGCGGAGGAAACTAACACATGGTGAGAAAACACAAACTGCAGCCCAAATTCAATTGGCAGTAAGGGGACTAGCAGCGAACTTTGTTATAGCATGTAAGCCCAAAGCGAAGAGGAGAGTGATGGCTTGGTCTAAGCCCCAGTCGGGATATATGAATATTAATAGATGCTGGGTTTGACCATGCCAATCTGAATGGTACGGTTGGTGTGCAATTCTCCGAGATGATAATGACAAATTTATAGCTGCAGCAAACGAAAGACTAGATTTTTGCTATGGGTCATTTTCTGCTGAAGCAATGGCTGTGAGATTTGGGTTAAACTTAGCACAGACAGTGGGATGTAGCAAGATTGAGGTTGTCTCCCACAATGAAGAAGTTGTTAATGCTTTGAAGGAGGGCTTCTCCAGCTCAGTGGCAAGTGCTATATTCGATGACTGTTATTACATGTCGCTAGACTTTAATCACGTTTTGTTTGATTCATGTATTAGAGATAATAATCAGGTAGCCCATGAATTGGCCAAGTTCTCTCCTCCTAGTATCGGGATGGATTCGCCTCCGGACGAGATTATACCTTTTCTTATAAATGATACAATTGTGATTGAATAAAGGAGGAGATGATTTGTCAAAAAAAAACTCATGTACCATAATAACCATATATATTGTTAGCCCGCAAAAGAAAATTATATATTGTTGAATGTTGACCATGGCCACCCTTTCAGAGCCACTTTCTTCCCTTCCCAGAGTGTAGCAAAGTATTGTGTGACATACCAAGTCGCTTGGGGGTATTTTTCGTAGCCATGGCTGACCATGCCACTACTCGACGTGTAGCAACAAATCAGCCGCGCATACCGCAATAGAATGAGCGCGTTCAACATTTCAACACGGCGAAGAACCCTTGATGAAGCAAACACGCAAGAACGAAGTGCCTCATGTTAATATATTGCGTGGCAGATGCTAATTTGCACTTGTACATAACGTGTTTGATCGTTTTTCTCCGGACGAAAATTCAACCCGATCTATGCTATGACGCTACGTACTACTACATATAATCCCGCGGCTCCGCTCGTCCGGCCCGTCCAGCAAGCAGCATGCATGCGACGCGAGCGTTCACGATGCCAAGAAGGGCTCTGGCCGACCTCGGAGCCGGCGGGGGCGGTCCCAGCGCCGGCACGATAATCGGCCTGTTCGTCGCCGCGGCTGCGGTCACGCTGCTCGCCGCCCTCCTCAGCAGCCTCTGCTCTCGCGGCGGGGGAGCGAGACGCGCGCCTCGGTCCACAGGAAATCCAGCGGGCGGCCCTGCTCCATTCATGTCTGGCGCCATGTTTGCTTCTGCCGCCGCGGCTAGCAGCGCCGGCGGCGGCGGCGCTGGCAGTACCGGTGGCTGTGCCGGTGGCTGCTAGCGAGAGTGCCAGAGGAGTATGCGCGCATGTACTAATTAATTCATTGGCTTGTTGCATGTAATACATCCCTGTAATTGGTGTGCTAGCTCAACCTGCCTTTCGGTGTATATTCTTCTGCTCTAGGCTTCTACTAGCTAGGAGTAATACAATTGCGCAGTGATACTATCGCATTCCCCTCTATTGTATAAACCGCGACAAGTTTCATGTCGACTTGTAATTAAACCGATAGAATGAATCTACACCAAACTGATTGTTTGATGATCATAACAAGACACAGATGACAGGGCCAAGCGAATGCAGTTCATATACAAGCACCATGTTTGCTAATCACAACCAAAATCTTTCAAGATGCAACAACACTTGTGCCACCAGCTAGCTCACAGCAGTCCAAGGCATATTTTACATGCTGAGGCAGTGGTTAGATCAAGTGTCCCTTCTTGAGTGACATGTTTTTCCTTCTCTAATGGAGCCTGCATCACTGTCATCATCTGCTCGATCTTGGGGAACAACCTTCAACGCGCCTACGCCTACTAATGTTCCATCCGTTCATTCTTGACATATTGTAAGAATAGTACTTATCCTCTGAAACGCTGCAAGCTCTGATCAAGCCGGATATACAAGTTCTTTATCTCATGGCGATTCATTACATGTGCCAGATTATTAGTCTCATGGACTTCCCCTTGAATCTGGCTTTCCTTTGTTCCCATCCGTGATGTACCATCTCTTCAATCTCTCCTGAGTGACCTCTACCTGAAAAATTAGAAGGAATAGAAACCATAATTGAGTATATCTCCTTCCCCCTTCTAGTTTAGCACACACTATATACTTCTGAACTTCTGCACAATAAGTTACACATATGAAGACTTTACTTAACAATGTTGGAGTAGAATAATGATCGAACAATTAACAAAGCTGACCTGTTTATCCCAGTCAGTCCTAATTGTTATGAACACAAGTACAATTGTTTGGATCAGTGTTCCGAGCAGCATGCCAACCCAAACGCCCTATAGCAGCAACAACCAAAGAGACCGAGTTAGGACCACAACTTATTAGAGCCAGGAGGCACAAGGATAATTATTTTAGTAACTGATTGACTGATACAACAGCATCTTCTAAAATAATGTTCTTACCTTCACATGATATCCAAAAACATAACCAAGGATTGCTCCAACAGGAATACCAATCAAGTAATACGTTGTGATGTTAACATAGGCAACTATACTTTGCCAACCCGCACCATAGCAACACCTAGAGAGTGATCAAACGGGATTATTATTTCAGTGAACCAAAAGAATCTTGTATTAGTATAGAAGGCAAATATTCTGCCTTGTTTTTTTTTCAAAAAAAGTTAACCAAACGAAATAATTGTAATGTATGTGCATTTAGAATTCAGCAAATGCTAAAGCAAACCTGATAGCACTGGTTGAACACTGTTCAACAAGATGGAGAAGGCTAGAAGAGGCGACAGGCTTGCAACTGCGGCAGCTACCTCTTCACTGGTGGTAAATATGTAGGAAAGCTTTCCGCGGAAGAAAAGGAAAAATATGAAGAACACAAGGCCTATTGAGAAAGAAGTGGCGACGACATTTATGATGGCGAACTTAGCCCTTCTTGCACTTCCAGCTCCGAGCTCATTTGCAACGCGCACTCTATAACACACAAAATCATTATCATCAAAAACCTGAAAACTTATTCAATCGCATGATACGAATAATAGGGAGTTCTAAGATCGAGAAGCTACCCTATTGCAGACAAAAAGCCAATAGAAATCATCATCTCCCAACCGTTGATGTTAAGGCTGCAGATTCCAGAGATAGAAAATCACAATACTTAATTAGTTTCTCATGTGTGGCGACAACGAAACAATATGAAATAATGAAATGACATATGTGCACCCCAGTGACTAGTTACCGATCTACTATGATGTAATGACCAGTGTCGAAAAACCAAAGATATACAATGAAAGAGTGAACTCTGAATTATATAAAGTAGTACGTGTGTATTACCATATTGAAAGAGCGTCGAGTGCAACCTCTGCATTCCTCATGTACCCGGTTAGGAGCACCAATATGGTGTTGTACCACAATTCCAAACTGAAAATGCAAACAGGAAAAAACAAGGATTATTGCTAGACTAGATGCATCCAAAACTTTGATAAGGACTGAAACTGCATATACAGTGAAAATTCAAGTTTTTTCATACCAGAGCATCACACCAGAGGATAGTGAGAGCCTGAGGACAGGAACGAGGTCCGTGAGTGCCACGGAGGAGAAGCCGGTCCATGTGAGAGGGCAGCCACCGCAGAAGACGAAGATGAGCTGCCCAAACACAGGAATCCACATGGCGATGACCATGGAGGTCATGATCCCGTCGAGTCCAAGGTTCAGCCGAACGGTCAAGAGCCAGGACAGGAAGAGATGGACGCCGAGGGAGACGAACGCGAGGTAGGTGATGATCATGTTCTTGCTCTGCGCCTGCAGGTACATCTGGAGCGTGAAGCTGAAGACACACGCGAACATGACGGGGATGTACCAGAGCGAGATGGTCCCGGCGACGGCGCTGATGACCGGGTCCTGGCCGATGAAGACGAGGAGAGGCTCGGTGAAGACGAAGATGGGGAGCATGAGCACGGCGCAGCCGGTCAGGATGATCCAGGAGCGCTGCAGGGAGATGCCCATCATGTGGTACTGCTTCGCCCCGTACGACTGCCCGCACAACATCTCCAGCGCGCTCGCCATGCCCAGCTGCATTCATTTTAAGCACATTTTATTAGGTATTAAGATCATCAGCTCCTTTTCTTTCTCCTCTCAAGAAATTTATTTCTGACGCAGTGAAACCTCTGAAGTTCAGGATGTAAGTGGACCTGTTGCACTGGATGGCCTTGTGATAACAGTAATAGTGTATGCCAAGGATCAAGGATTCAGACTTTAGGGGTCATCTTGCTATATGGAGAGTGACGAAGCTATTGGAGGTCAATAAGGAATTAAAGGGTCGAGGATTCAGAGGTCATCTGGCTATATGTTGCTCAACAATGTTCATCGCAGCAAGCCCTAGTAAGGAACGGCATGGAATGAGGTGTCTGAACTCTGAACCTTGCTCGACATCATTCAGTTCTCAAGTTGCTGCAACCTGAATCTGCATCAATCCGACGCTGCCGTGAAGGAGACATATGAGAGGGACGCGGAGCATAGCAGGGCAGAGCAGAGGTACCGTGAAGTCACTGCCGAATACATCCTCCTCCGCCCCCAGCTGCGCCTACCATCAAAGCTGACGTCGCCGCCGCCGGAGCTGAAGAGAGTATCGGCGGGATTGAAGAGATAGGAGAGGAGGCGCCCTCGCAAGGCTCGGCTCGGTCCCCGGAAATTACCGACGGTGGCCTCTTCGAGAAACACGGAGGCGCCATGGAAGGAAGGGAGAACTGGAATGGGGAGGCGGTGCCGGTGGAGACAGCGGCGACGGCGTGGCGAACCGCGAACGCGGTGCCGGTAGAGGGAGGAGTGTGTGGTGGCCTCATGGGCTTTGCTGGGCTGCCCATTTGTGCCATTTCCCATTTGGTAGTAGTAGCGTGCCGAGTCACTCCAATGGGCAAGCCCAAGTACGAGAGGGTTTTCTAGTTTTGGGAAGCTTCTCCTCACTTGTTGCAAGGCTCGGCTGATTTAAATGCTAAAAAAAAGGTTCGGCTGATTTTTTTTCTTGCTTCATGTGTTTTCCCTTGTTGGTTTTACTAATAATTTTCCGTCGGCTTTCTATTTTCTATTTTTTTATACCTATCCATTTTTTCCTTCTCCTTTTAATTTTTTCTTCTCTTCTTTCATTTTCAATTAACGGATTTTTCTAAAAAAAACACGATTATTTTTAAAAATTCATAAAAAACTTTTAAAATTATGAACATTTTAGTTCAGTATTATTCTTTAGATTTTTGAACATCTTTAAAATTTCATGAATAACTTCTAATCTTCAAAAAAAATAGTTCATGATAAAATATTAAATTTATGAACTTAAAAAATTTCGTGGATATTTTCCTAAATTTTTGAAAAAAAATAGAATATGAGAAGATGTTTTCAAATTGGTGATCATATCTAAAATTCATGAGATTTTTTTTCAGATCAACAAACAATTTTTAATATGTGACACACATATAACAATTTTATCAAATCTATGTACTACATCTGGGTGGAGCTTTTTCTTTTTAATCAAGGGATTCGGTTTTCCTAGTGAACGAAGTAGCCGCTAATGGGCCGGCCCATGAGGCACACGACGGGCATGTTAGCTCGCACACCGTGCGGGATAAGAGCATCCTTTTTGAGAACGGGTGAAATCACTAATTAAAGGGCACTCCTTAAAAAACCCATGTTCATCTTCTTTGATGATGACAGCTGGTGCACAGCTTGTTGCCATTTGTCGCAACCTCACAGTTTTGAAGTGATCGCTTCCCACACGTTGGAGGATGGGTGGGTTCGGGGTTTTTTTAAGCTATTTTTTCAAACAAAATATCTTTTGAACTATGCGTCCAAATATTCCTCCAGCTAGACTGGGATTTGCAGGATAAGTTAACATGCCACGTTCTCTCAGGAAATGCCAGCCCATGATGGAAAAGGCATTTGCTATCATCCAACGAGGTTGTTTTCGCTCAAAGAAAAATCCAAAGGTTGTTCCATCTTGACATTGACAATGACTTAAAAAAGTTGAAAGCACAAAGACAACACGAGGTAAGAACTATGGCTTTTCCTCTCAAGTCGACAAGAAACTGTACTTTTGTTGCGGCAAAGATGGACCACACGATACGGTTTTTTCTTGTGGTTGTTGGGATCAAGGGCCAGGACGCAGTTGGCGTATATATTTCTCTATCATGTTTGTGTCACGATCGTCCGTATGAAAACATGCAACCACTTGTACTCTCTATTTTTTTGCCAATAAGAGAAAAGAGGAACAGTGCCAAACATGTTTATTTGCGTTATGATGGAACTGGCAACAGCAGACTGAGGTAGGCAGACATAATTAATCAATCAAGCAGACAGAGTACATATAATACAATACAATATAATAAGATGTTTGGCAGACGGATTGATGGAAGGAAGGAGCGATGAAAACGGCAATTGTTACTACCACTTACCAGTATGCCGTTGCTGAAGCGCATGAGGACGGTGGAGACGAGGGCGTAGGCGGCGAGCTGAGTGGCGCCGATGTGGCCGATGAAGGCCTGGCTGATGACGGCGATCCCGAAGGTGGAGAAGCGCGTGCAGATGGACGGCCCCGCCACCGCCCACAGCCGCCGCCCCAGCCCGCCGTCACCGGTCGCATTGTGCTCTGCCGCCCTGCAGGGCTCCAGCAGCGGGGCCTTGCTCTCCTCCTCCTCCCTCTTCTCCATGGATGAAGGCGGCAGGTCGCTCGCTCCTGGTTAGCTCAGTGATACAACTTTGCGCCTAGCTTAGAATCTAGCCCTGGAGAGGATCCGGTTAAGATGCGGATCAGTGGTGTCGCCTATTGGTGGGCAAGCAAAGCGTCCTTAATTTGTGCTCCACCAGCGTTGGCGCTCGCACGTCGGCACGTGAGATTTGCCCGGTCGTCTCGCACTGCCGGTAGCTTTGTCACCGTCAGTGCTCCCGCTGGCCAGGATGGTTGACGACGAGGCGAGACGAGACGAGATGCATCCAGGATCTGTCCTGCGGTTGGCCCATCAGTCCCCAGCGTTTACTCTATTGGCCTGCAAAACTGTACTTCAGTCAGTGCGCCTGACGCCAAAATTATGTGCATCTACCGCGATGTCTGTTTATTTACCTTCACTATATTCTTCTTTCTCCACGGTTTGCTGCTGCTACTATTATTGTTATTACTCACATGTGATGAGAGGAGAGCACAGATGTTTGGAGCGTAGGGGGTTGGGACGTGGGGCGTGCAAATCTGAAGCGTGTGTTGTTTCCTAGGCTGCTAGCGTTGCATGGCCAATATGTGCACACGTTCGGGCCTAGGTCAGGTGTGTGTCAGTGTGTGTGTGTGTTGTTGTTGTTCCCCAGTCTAATCGGTTTGACTGCGTTGGCCGACGTCCCTAGGCCAGGCCAGCCCCATCCACGTCGCATGCATGCAACTAGGCCAGCCTCATTAACGTCGGCGGGCCTGCGAGTCGTCACTTGCCGCCATCAATCTGGATGTCGTACATCGTCGGTCGGGACCGTCACGCTGATCGACGGGTACAAACAATGGGCCAAGGACAAGTGGACAAGCACGACTGACCAGCCATACAATAGGCGGACAAGAGGATGGATCGCCTCTCTCCACGTATGCCCCCGTCTACCTAGCTATCTATTTTATCTATTACTAATAAAAGCACAATATGAGTTAAAATAAGAAAATATATGCTAGAAAATCGCACACAAATCATAAAACATCTGTCCATTAATTCGGTAGACTCTCATTAAACCAAGAAGCACAGCCGTTAGATCTTGGACCCCGATATCGCCCGAACAACAAATTTAACTGCATCGGAC